GAGCGGCTGGATCCTGGGGGCCACAGCTCCCACTCAGGAACTAATCCACAGGAAGTTAAGGAGCGGCTGGATCCTCGCTGCCTCCATGTTACCCTTCTGGAGAAACATTAACTTCCTCTGTTTGAGGAGCTGCAGGTTAAACAAGTCTTCTTGTAAAAACAACTCAAGGGACATTTTATGACAATATTCCATTTACTGTGGAAATGATTGGTTTTACTGACGTCAGAGTGGAACAGTTGGCCAATAAAAGCAGGTCATTGCAGGTAATGGGTGGTGCTTGGTGTCGCCTAAACGTGACAAATGAAGCAGAGTCATTAACATCTGGGCAGCTGTTATAAGGAGCACGCGGCACAGCTCAGGATCAAACAGCTTTGCTTAGCAACTGTTGCTACGGTGTAAATGTGTGTGTTCCGCGTGAAAAAGGTTCACAGAAAGGAGTCTCTCCACGCTGCGTGGGTGGCTTTCAGGGAAGTTCTGGTTTATTTACGTTTTTCCGCAGATGACGTAAGAGTGATCGCTTGTTCTCACTTCCGGATTTGTTTAAATGAAACGAAGGGCAGATTATTTAATAACAAAATAAAAACCAAACGTTTTTGTTTTCTATTTTTTATTCTATCATCTTTTACTTGTGATTTTAAAATCATAATATTTGGTCATTTATCTATTTCGTTATATTTTTACACAGTTTGAAACCTTTAATTCGAAAGTATGAGGATTTTATTATATTTTGTGCTTTTTGTCTCAGTTTGCACTTATTTAATTTCAGAAACGTCCTTAATCCAAACTGAGAGGAGAAGCTCAGCAGATGATGGTTCAGACAGAAAACTGGACCCAATGCGAGGCATGGAGACTGATGGGGGAACCATCCTAATCTGAGATGATCTTTGGATGAAAACGCTGCTCTATCTTCCACATTTCACCGTCGTCACACATGATCACGATCTGCACGACGCGCACGCGCCCTCTACGTCACGACTGTTCAGAAGAGGACAGGCGCGCGTGTCCAAAGTTCTATGGTGTCTAAAAATAGTTTATAACCGGTATCGGTGGGTTGTTGGACATGACTAGTGACGTCATAAGGGCTGTTTTGTGAGAGTAAATTGACCTTTTCTACCAGCCTACTTCGGTGTGTGTGTGTGTGTGTGGGGGGGGGGTTATCAATGTTTATTTCGATTTTTCATCTACTATGTTTTTTTTTTTTATTAGCCTGTGGAAAGGATATCAGGAATAGGGACACAAGGCGGGGGTGGGGGGGATTGTCCAGGTAGGAAAATGTTCCAGTGCATGAAGCCCTGGTCATTGGATG